GCGTTTTAGTTTTTTGTAGACTTGGGCGTCGGACAGCAAGGTGTTGACTTTGTTGTGGTAGTCTCTTTTGTCCATCACCACTGTTGCGTTGCCTTTGTCCGCCGGTAGAATGAGGATGTCGTCATTCTGTCTTAGGCTTCGAAGCGCTAGTCGTTCTTCCCTGTTAATGTTTTGGATGGGAAGTTTGGCTTTTCGGAGGATCTGGGCTGACTGCTGTCTGATGTTGTTTCCTGCTTCAGGTGGGAGTTGGAAGATGGCGGTTTCTATTTGACTGTGTGGCGACTTGCAGTTGCCTAACTATACGACGACACAGTCTATGGTCGTCGGTGGCGCTGTCCGAGCGGGAACAGAATATGTTAGTCGTTACTCGCCTGTGTAACGGTCAAGACTGATCACCTTGACTCGTACCAAAGATTCCTAATAAAGTTTATACATATATCTCCAGTACAGTGAGAGTATCATTCCCGCCTTCGCTATCAGCTATCGGCAAGGAAGTAATTGTGGGCACTTCAGCCGGACTGTAATATCATTACCGAGCCCCACAATTGGTGACCCCGACGTGATTGCGCATCCGCGCCTTTCACGCTCGCATCAGCGGAACAGGGATCAACGGCGAGGCTCAGGCCATCCCTCTGTTTGGGGATTGACCTGTAGCACGAAGAGGACTTCACCCACGCCCTACCAGCGTGAGGATCCTCGGACTGCCCAAGATTTGTGGCAACATCGACGCCCGGGCAAGTCCATTATCGGGCCTTCCCGAAACTTCGGGCGAGCCTATCACCGCCCGAGGGAGGCCATTTTGGGTGACGTACATCGGTCGTTCTCCATCCACGGACTCAAGTCGGCGGGATTCCGCCCTGTGGTATCTCCGACGACGCGGCCGAACCAGGTTAAGGGCGCACCCAGGTCAGTGCACGATTTATGCCGGCGTAGTCATCCCGGCGGACGCGCATCCCGCGCAGTCATCCCGGCGGACTTCTTCGTGCCGGCGTAGTAATCCCGGCGGACGCGCATCCTGCGCAGCCATTCCGGCGGGCATTGCCGTGCCAGCGCAGCTTTCGCGCTTACGCAGCCATCACTGCGGACGCGCATCTTGCGCAGCCATACCAGCGGACATCTTAGCGGTCGCTGACGGGGCCAACGGGTCCATACCGGCTAATTCTTCCTCGGTCCTCCTTCGTTCCCAGAATCAATGAACGGGACGTGACGGGCCAACGGGACTATACCGGACTTAAAGGTGGCTCTCTGCCACACCGTGGCGTACAGCACACCGTGCAGCACACGGGACCATACCGTAGCGCAAGGGGACCAGAGTTACGGGATGTGTTACGCACTCAGCCTTGCGTACACGCACGCAGACGCAGCGGCACCGAGGTACTTCTAAGCAGCGCAGCCAGCGAGACCGCCGTCCGACGGAAAGCGGGCCAGCGCCTCTAACCTCCTATCGCCAGCATCTCGGGTCCGGGCATCACCTTCTTCGAGGGACAACGCCTCTACAAGGGCTTCGAGAGCGTCGAGGCACATGCTGTGCCTCATTCTGGTATTTCTCCTCAGTTTCTTTTCCTTTTGTTCATTTCTTCTCGGTTCGCGGTACGCGTCCCATAATTTGAACATGCCGGACGATGACGTGCGCGTGGAATCGTATCGGGTGCCTAAGATCCCGCCCTTCTGGCGGCAGGCCCCGGAAGATTGGTTTTTACGTGTCGAAGCGTCTTTCAGAAACGCGAATATAACCGTCGATAGTACCAAAGTCGACTACCTTATCGCAAGCCTCGATCCAGAGGTTATATCGCATATCCGAGATTTGATTCAGGAGGACCCGCTTCCTGCTAACCTATACAAAGCGCTCAAAGACCGGGTTCTCGCGACATTCGCGGTCTCACCGGAGGCCCGTTTACGGCAGTTACTAAAAGGTCAGGTTCTGGGGGACCGGAGACCCTCGCATTTGCTGAGTCAAATGAACCAGCTCAACGGTGGGCAATGTAGCCCTGCCGTGCTAAAGTCACTTTTTATTGAGTTATTGCCCGAAGCTCACAAGACCATTCTGGTCGCAATGAACGAACCTGACCTGCAAAAACTCGCGGGAATTGCGGACAAACTCGCGGATATCAATACTCCCAGTACCGCAGTCGCCGTAGTCGCGCCTAAAGAATCTAAGGGCACTCGTACTAAAGCTCCTTTGAGCACTGACGAACGGATCAATAAGCTCTCGAAGCAGATCCAGTCTTTGAGCACTTCGGTCGCGAAATTGCGCCGTGACCGTTCTACATCCCGTACGCGTAATAAATCTAAGCGTGGTGATGAAGCAGATAAGTCTGATGATAAGACAGGCTACTGCTACATTCACCGTAAATACGGGAAGAAAGCCACGTCCTGCCGCAAGCCTTGCTCGTGGAAAGATGACGCGGCGGAAAACTAAACCGCTCTCCCCGCGAAGAGACGGTCGGGGATTCGGGGCAGAAACAAAGCCGTCTTCATGTTTTTGATCGGACTACCGGTCAACGGTTTTTGGTTGATACGGGCGCGGAGATATCTATACTTCCAGCGTCCCTGCGCGATAAAAATACGCCTTTCGAATTAAAACTTTTCGCAGCTAATAATACTGTAATCGATACGTTCGGCGAGCGTCTTCTTACTCTAGATCTAGGCTTGCGGCGTCCTATCGTGTGGAATGTTCGCGTAGCGAACGTGCCCTTTGCGATCCTCGGTGCAGACGTGTTGACGCATTATAAGCTTATTGTCAACCTGCACAAGCGTCGTCTGGTCGACAGCGTTACCTCGTTGTCATCGACCGGACAGTTACTGGCTGTACCAGAAATTAAAATATCCTTGGTCAGTCACGATAATAAATTTGCGGACATACTTTCGGGATTCCCTGAGGTTTCCAGGAGCGGTCAGGCGCTTTCGCCTGCCGCATGTGCTGTCGAACACCATATCGCGACTAGCGGTTCTCCCGTCGCGGAACGACCACGCCGGTTACCCCCCGATAAGTTAAAGGCAGCGAAGGCTGAAATTAAAAGGCTGACTGAGTTAGGCATTTGTAGGCCGTCCAGCAGTCCTTGGGCTAGTCCAATCCACCTCGTCCGCAAGGGTAACGGTGACTGGCGGCTTTGCGGCGACTATCGTCGTTTGAATGCCGTCACAATTCCGGATAAGTATCCGATACCGTACCTTCACGATTTTACCTCTAATCTACTAGGTAAATCGGTTTTCTCGTCCCTTGATCTTTTCAAGGCGTACCACCAAATTCCCATGGCAAAGGCCGATATACCGAAGACGGCCGTTATAACGCCGTTCGGTCTTTTCGAATTCGTCTCTATGACATTCGGTCTTCGGAATGCCGCTCAGACCTTTCAGCGGTATATCCATCATGCCCTGCGGGATCTCGATTTTGCATTCGCTTATATTGATGATATTCTTATAGCATCCTCTTCTATGGAGGAGCATAGGAAGCATCTAGCATGGTGTTTCAAAAACTAAAGGAATACGGGTTAGTTATCAACCCTTCCAAATGTGTCTTCGGGGTAGAAGAATTAACCTTCCTCGGGCATCGCGTAAATAAATTCGGTCTGAAACCCTCCCCGGAAAAAGTGGCTGCCATACGGGATCTCCCGAAGCCAAAGACCGTAGCGGAACTACGTCGCTTTTTGGGCGCGTTAAATTTTTATAGGCGCAGCCTTCGACACGCCGCTCGCGTACAAGCCCCCCTACACACATATTTAACCGACTCGCGTAAAAATGATAAACGCGAAATTAACTGGACTCTCGAGGCCGAAACCGCGTTTGACAAGGCCAAAGCCGACCTTGCTAATGCCGCGTTATTAGCACACCCGTCCAACACACACCCGTCCAACACTCGTGTCGTGTCGGATGCTTCGGACTTTTCCATGGGTGGGGCCCTTGAGCAGTATACCTCTGACGGTTGGAGACCATTAGCTTTTTCTCTAGAAAGTTTACACCGGCGCAGAGGAACTATAGCGCATACGACCGCGAATTGACCGCGATTTATGAATCGATCAAGTTTTTTAGACATTTCCTCGAAGGTCGCAACTTTAAGGTCATGACGGACCATAAACCTTTGGTTTACGCTTTTCAGCAACGGTCGGATAAAGCCTCTCCTAGGCAACTACGTCAGCTCTCGTACATAGCGCAGTTCACCACCGCGTTTGAATATCTCGCAGGTTCCGAGAACGTGGTGGCTGACAATCTATCTCGTGTCGAGGCTCTTCGCCTCCCGGTCGAATTTGAATTAATCGACCTCGCCGCTAGGCAAAAAGAGGATGAGGAATTAAAGCATTTGCTAGTTTCAAACTCGTCCTCGCTTAAATTAAAAAAGTTCATTTGGGGTTCTTCCAATTCAGAGCTATACTGCGAATTGTCAGGGGAATCAATCAGGCCCTACATTCCAGCATCTCTTAGAAGACAGGTTTTCGACTTGTTCCATAACCCCGCGCACCCGAACGCTAAAGTAACAGACCGTGTCATCCGACAGCGGTATATATGGCCGAACCTACATCGCGATGTCGCGACTTGGGTGGGTAACTGCACTGACTGTCAGCAGTGCAAAACCTCACGTCACGTCAAACTCGAGCCTGCACAATTTGCCGCTCCCGACGGGCGTTTCGACCACGTCCACATGGACATAGTTGGTCCCTTGCAGCCCAGTAATGGCTTCACTTATTGCCTTACGATTATAGATAGGTTTTCCCGCTGGCCAGAGGCGATTCCATTAATAGATATCACGGCCAGGACAATAGCCCGAGCCTTCTTTGACAATTGGGTCGCTCGTTTCGGTGCACCTAGTATTTTAACGACCGATCAAGGTCAACAATTCGAGGCACAGCTTTTTGCAGCTCTCCTCAAACTCATCGGATGCAGACGCATTCGTACGACAGCTTACCACCCCGCCGCTAACGGCATGATCGAGCGTTGGCACTGCACCTTTAAGGCAGCGATCATGTGCCATAATACGCCGAATTGGGTGGAGGTCCTCCCGGCAGTTTTGCTTGGGTTGCGCACCCATGTGCGTATGGACACTAAAGCCTCCCCGGCCGAATTCCTTTACGGCACGGTTCTACGGATCCCGGGAGAATTTTTCCTCCAGGAGGATTTTACACCGGATCCCCAAATCTTTATAGATGACTTTCGACAGCACATGCGTCAGGTGAAGCCAGTACCGGTGGCACACCACTATAAAAAGCGCGTTTTCCGATTCAAGGAATTGTCTGTCTGTTCGCACGTCTTCCTCCGCAAGGACGCGGTCAAAAAGCCTCTAGAGCGACCGTATTCAGGCCCCTTCAGGGTAATTGAAAGGACGTCGGACAAAGTCTACTCGATCGAGATAAACGGTAAACCTACAACCGTTTCGGTCGAACGTCTTAAGCCTGCTCATTTTGTACCGGACGACGCTCTAGCCCCTGGCAATCCGCCTACGTCCGACGCTACAGATACGCCTCCTGCTTCGTCAAGCGTTCAACCGGGTACCTTGAAAACGTACACGGGCCCGAAAAAAAGGTACAAATTAGGCTAGACAAGAACACCGTACGTTTATTCCCTCGGTAGTAAAACCTCGTTACGGGAAAGTACAGGTGATTATGTATCGCGCGTAAAATTCTTATGTTCCGTTAGCCATTAGTGTTAAGTGCAATTTTCATTCTGGTCGCGGTCGCGTGTTAGTATTTCTTTTGCTTCGGTTTATACCTACGTCCTGCGTATGCGTTAGTCTTTAAGCAGCGATACTGTATTATTCCATGTGCAATTAATTATACACCCTGCGTATGCGTTAGTCTTTAAGCAGCGGTATAACATATAGTATATTTTATCTCGGAGCTTGCAATGTACAGCCTGCGTCTACATAATTGTTCTAAGCAGCAGTACCTTAATATTGTTTAATCCATCTTACATTGTACATCTTGCGTCTACATTTTCGTTCTTAGCATTAGTACCTATGTATAATTCTGTGATACATCCTGCGCTCACTTTAGTTCTAAGCAGCGGTATCATAAGTTCCTGCAATATTTTTTTTGTAATATTTGGCAGCGTCAATTATTTGTGATAGACACCCTGTGTCATACCAAAAATTGTATTTCTTTCTCTCCAGCGTTAGCACTCGGGGGGGAGTGTGTGGCGACTTGCAGTTGCCTAACTATACGACGACACAGTCTATGGTCGTCGGTGGCGCTGTCCGAGCGGGAACAGAATATGTTAGTCGTTACTCGCCTGTGTAACGGTCAAGACTGATCACCTTGACTCGTACCAAAGATTCCTAATAAAGTTTATACATATATCTCCAGTACAGTGAGATCATTCCCGCCTTCGCTATCAGCTATCGGCAAGGAAGTAATTGTGGGCACTTCAGCCGGGCTGTAATATCATTACCGAGCCCCACA